CCTTTGGATTAGGTCTGCTTTAGACCCCGTGTGATAAGGTCCTATGGCCACATGAGTCCCAGCCCAGCATCAAGTTTAAACTTCCACATTCAACTCAATGGCACTTTGAAAGTGCTTGATGTAAGGACCAAGTGCAAGGACCATAATTTGGGGAATAAGAATTTGACTATAGAAATAAAATACAAATAAACTTCAACAAGGGAGCGTTGCTGGTGTGGGAAATTCTGAATAATCACTTGCTGCCTCTTGAAATAGTTTCTGAGCCTTTGAGAGAGCTGGTTTTCTTTCTCTCACACACAAACAATATTTGGAGAGTCATCTTCCGGGTAATTTGAATTTTTTGGTTTTGAGCAGCTGAGCACACAAGAAAGAGGAGCCCTCCGATTTCTTTGTGAGCAAGTTTTTCAGTTAGTGCATTTTTACTTTGAACAGCTACCTTCAGGATGTGGTTTTTACTATATTTTCGTTCCCACAAGAGACCCCTCCACGTGTTCTACTTTTCCTTTCTTAATTTTTAATCTGTCCTTTTTTTACTTAGGAGCAGTGGTTACAGCAATGCAAAACCAAACAGATTGAACATGTTAAATATTATGCATAAATTTGATAGTTTGTATTTCTTGTTGTATGATGTTTTATTGATTTCATCCTGTGAGGTTTGCAGTTTATTCCATGATTTTTAAGTGTAGGATATGAATCACTAAAGTCTTCACCATCAAAGACATTTAAATACAGTTACACTAGTAACCATCATATACTTAATTTTCTACTGTCAGACTCTACTAATAGGTCCCAGGGAATGGGATACTTCCAGAGGACTCAAAGCATAAATTTCCAACTTATGGTGACCCTAAGGCAAACCTATCATGGGGTTTTCTGAGGCTGAGAGTGTGTGACTCACCCAAGGTCACTTAGTGGGTTTCCATGGCCTAGCAGGGAATCGTACCCTGATCTCCAGAGCTACTGTCAAACACAAACTATTACACCATGCTGGTACAAACAATTGTAGTTTTTTAAACTGCTTTGTAACATTTTGAATTGTATCTTTTAAAACTGCTTTTAGTGTTGTTAATAGCTTAATCTTATTTTAATGCTGACATTTTGTATGTTTCACTATATGCATTTGCTTTAAATTATTACAACAAATTAAATTAATTCATTTTAATTTGTAAGCCACCTTGATTCATGGTTTTGGGGAAAAGGCAGTATATTAAAAATGAGGATGGTCATGATGATGAAGATCAAGATGACAACAATTATTATCATTCAAGTAATTCTGTCTTATATTCCCTAATAGATTTTTCTTTCTGGAAATAAAAAAGAAAGAGGTGGTGGGAACACACCGAAAGCTTACAAACTGAAGTTGATGAACGTCTGAGCTAAATGTAAATTCTGTCAATAAACCAACTGCCCAGTAAAAGCCTCATCTAGAGGTATTCATGGCCTGAGGTTTCAACATGAGGTAGCCATCTTGTTGAAGTTAAGCAAGCTAGGCTGCATCCACACTGCAGAATTAATGCAGTTTGACACCACTTTAACTGCCATGGTGCAATGCTATGGAATTCTGGGATTTGTAGTTTTGTGAGCTATTCAGTCTTCTCTGTCAAGAGAGTTGTGGTGCCATGACAAATCCCATGATTCCATAGGATGGAGCCATGGCAGCTAAAGTGGTGTCATACTGGATTATTTCTGCAGTGTGGCAGCGATCCTAGTATGAAGATGACAGCAGTTAAAGAAATATCAATACAGTCAGTCCTTCATGGCCATGGATTCAACCAGACATGGTTTGAAAGTATTCCAAAAAGATATAAATTCCAAAAAGCAAACCTTGATTTTGCCATTTAATATAAAGGACAGCATTTTACTATGTCATTGTATTTAATGGACCTTGACTATCCATAGATTTTAGTAACCACAGGGCCTCCTGGAACCAAACTCCAGAGGCCACCAAGGGCCCATTGTACAGTTTGTATATCCCTTGCAAGACTACTCTGACTTACTGCCAGCAACCTGCAGTGCTTTATAGTAACACAAATACTCAGCATGTTGCAGTGAACATTTCATTTATTTTACAAATTTAAAAAAAGAAAAAAACACCAGTGTTATTTAAATTCTCAGCTTCATTCTGGGCCTAAGCAGACTGCCAGAAATAGTGCGCGTTAAATTGAGGCACTGCCCTGGCTCAGTGCTAGGGAATCATGGGAATTGTATTTTTTCTGAGACATTGAGCCTTCTCTGTCAGAGAGCTCTGGTGCCACAATAAATTACAGTTCCCAGGATTCCCTAGCACTGAGCCAGGGCAGTGCCTCAATTTAATGTGCACTATTTCTGGCAGTCTGCAAAGGCCCTCTGTTTCCCATCCACTGCTCTTTTTTCTGTTAAAATAACCAGTTGATGACTGAATTAAGAAATTCACATTTTAATCCCTGCAATAAAACATTGATGTACAAATAAATTAATACAACATAGTATTAGAATGTCTTTTTGATGCGTGAAGGGTGGAAATTCATCCATTTGCAAGTTGTATGACAAAACAATTTACAGTCCCCTTCAATTAAATTGTTTTTGGGGTTGCAATAATCTAGAACATGCACCCAAAAAGTAGAAATTTTCTTATCATAATGGTAGATTTCAGCAAAGCAGTTATTTAAAAGTTCAGAAGCTCTCATAACAGCAAGATCAGTGACCTGCAAGAGTATATCTAATGTTCCTAGGCTGTTTCACATATATTTGGTATACACCCAAAAAGCATAATCCATGAAGTAGTCATGTAGGCATTTCTACATATAGGTGTGGCTTTGAGCCTCCCTTGCACCCATTTTGCTGCATGTGAATCTTAGAGCCTTTCCAGACAAAAGTCTGAAAGTCTCAGGCTTTGCTCCTGTGCAAACTAATTTTAATTTCAAGGTCTGCATGACGTTTTCCCCATCCTGAAATGTCTGCTATTACCTAGGACTTTTCATTCCCATTCCCCAGGTCAATTTAAATTAACCACCTGTTTCTCAAAATACACATCAGAGATCAAGCAAGAGAAAGAAGAATGCTAGCAATAATATTAAATGACTGCTATTGTTGTGTGCCTTCAAGTCATTTCTGACTTATGGCAATCCTAAGGCAAACCTATTAAGGGGGTTTCTTGGCAAGATTTCTTCAGAGGAGGTATGCCATTCCCTTTCCCTGAAGCTGAGAGCATGTGACTTGCCCAGGGTCACCCAGTGGGTTTCATGGCCAAGCTGCAAATTGAACCCTGATTTCCAGAGTCACAGTCCAACATTCAAACCACTACACCACACTGGCCCTCAAAAAGAAAACAATACCAATAGTGTAATATTGCTAAAGCACTTCGACTGTTACTCTTGAATAATATTTTAAAAGAACTCGATGAAAATAGGTGAAAGATAATTTCTGAAATGTTGCCTAAGTGGAAAGAAGGGAGAGTGCAAGACTGGAGGGAGGAAGGGAAACCCTAGATATTTCAAGAAAGAATCTGGATACAAAACCATGAATATGCAGGTAAAATCAAAACAAAAAGAACTAGAAAGTCTCCATACTTCCAGGGACTTCCCGCCCACTCCCCACTTTCTGGATAAGTCCTCAGTCACGTTTAACAGATGACAAGTCAAATGTATTTTGAGACAATGCAGTTTGTTTTTTTCCACTCACACTATAGAGCAATTTTAAGCCAAACTCCATTTTAGCTTTGTTTGTAAACACAGGCCTGTTCTGATGCTTTTATACCAGCCGAGTTATACGTACAGCTAGCATTTCCCAGTGATCTTTTGCAGTCATGTCCTTCTTTCTAAAGGGGATGTTGCTTCCAATCGCAATGGGCAACGTGTTTCTGTTCCATGGCTGTCCTCTGTGTTTCATTTTGATTGCCAAATATTCATCAGATTAGGAAAGGAATTTGGCTTCACATTCATAAATACAAGCTGACTTAAGAGTTAATGACATGCAGAATCTTTCATCAACAGTTTCCTCAGTTTATGTACAGTACCAGGAAACAAAAGAGAAAACCACCCTGGTTTTCCTGCTATTTTGATGTGGGCTTTGCCACCACAGAAACCCTCTCTCGAAATCCTAACATGTGCTGCAAAAAGCCTGTTAGTGCATCATAGTGGTGGAACAACAATACTTTCACAGTGCAAAATGCTTGTACACCTGTTGAGAATCCCAGAGCATCTGACGGTACAAAGAAGGATCAAGACAGACTTTTTATCTTTCAGGACTGAAAGGTTAGCATTTCATGGTGGGAAAAGGCAATACTGATTGTAGCATTTCCAACTTTCCACCCTACAAGTCTTTTAGGGCTATTGTCCACTGTTACTGAATGCAGTCAGGTTTTATTCAAGCTGTCTGCAGCTGTCTGATCTCTTCTGGAGGACAGCCTTGGAGGAAGAAGTGGTTTTAAGCAAAAGGACCAATTCCTGGAACCAGTCTCTGCATGGGCTCCTTTGTTGTGCATGCTACTAACCTCTGTCTGAAAGTGCAAAAACCCTCACTCTCCCCAAACACTTAAGACAAAGTTTTTTAGCACCTGAAGATTGCTTTTCCCATTTTCTCATCCCAGCAAAATGTGGGGTGATGAGCCCGAAGAGCAGGTAGAATCTCACTTGGCTGAGGGCTGGGTCTCTCATGAGTTTCTAGCAGCCATCTGCTCATTTAGACGCTTGCGTTGCCGTTCAGGCTCTTTTGCTCCATGGCGTTTCCTGCTTCTTGCTTAGGTTGTGACTTCCATAGGTTGTATTTCCCACACTTTTGTTTTGTGTAGTACATATAATAGACTACAATGACCACACCAGCAATAAGTGCCGCAAAGCCAAGTCCCAAGGCTATTGCAAGGATGTTGGGTTGAGAAGCTGGAAGGGAAAACAAAACAAAATAATGTGAAGTGTCTCAGAATTCCACAGGGCTGCAATCCAGGTAAGACAGCTGCAGAAAAACATTCTACTTAAAAGGCAAGATTGTACCCCTCATGGCTGATACAAAATGCATTGGAGTTGCAAAATTCAAAACACTCCAATAAATAAAGTAGTATATGGTTTCTTCAAAGAACCACTACGAAGAAGTCCACAATGGCTCTCCTGCCCCTTTTCTTGGCTTCCAGACCTCTGCTGATTCCAACAGTGACTACATCCAAACCACAGTAATAATCCAGGTTAACACTACTTTGGTGGCGCAGTGGTTAAATGCCTGTACTGCAGCCACTCACTCATAAACCACAAGGTTGCGAGTTCAATCCCAGCCAGGGCTTAGGCTAGACTCAGGCCTGCATCCTTCTGAGGTCGCTAAAATGAGTACCCAGCTGTTGGGGGGGGCAATGAGCTTACAATTGTAAACTGCTTAGACATCCCATAGCGTGGTATGAAGCGATATATAAATGAAGCTGCTTTGCTTTAAGTACCATGACTCAAAACTATGGAATTCTGGGAATTGTAGTTTGTTGTGGCACCAGAGCTTTCTGACAGAAAAGGCTAAATGTTTAATAAAACCACAGTTCCCAGAATTCCATAGCACTGAATCATGAGTGGTGTCAACTTGGATTATTTCTGTAGTGCGGATGCAGCATACGTTGTTGTTTAATGCTAGGCAAACTAAAGTCTCCATAACTACTTCATTCCTAAATGTTTCTAGTGCTTTAGGAAAGTAATTTATGCATATGTGTTCAATTCCAAAAGCAGGATTTGTTGTAGTGTGAGCTATCCTCTTAATGATAGATTATGGAGCAATTGTTCATCTACCAAAGGAGGCAGAAGGTTGAGCATCAAGAGCAAGAGTTGGACTCTTTTCAACCTACAGATTTTTGGACTTCAGTTCCCATAATTCCCATCACTAGCCTCATACAATGGTTGAGGCTGATAGGAGTAGAGGTCCTAAATATTTGGAGGGCCAAAGTTTCCCATGTCTGATTGAGAGACAAGTTTACTGATGTAATAGACAGATAGTATTTTTTCTTTAAAGAGAGGTGAAAGCAATCTAGTAGCACTTGAAGTGAATCCAGTAGGTGTTATCTATGTTGTGGCCTCATGTTTATTTTAGTTTAATATTATTTTCCAAAGCCAGGAAAATGTTTTTCTTTTTGTCTGTTGGGCTATAGTTCTCAGAATATCCAGTGGCCATGTTGGCTCAGGGTCCTAGGTGCTGAAGTGTGAAAAAGTCACTTCACCAAACTCTCTGATTCTGAAGCTGAAAAGATGGGGCTGCCATCTGGCAAGGACTAGAAGACAACCAGCCAGAAAGTGAGCCAAGACTGGAACAGCTCTAAACTCAAAAGGAATGATCAACTCTGGTTCACAGTTAATGATCAGATGCTCTTAGAAACTTTCTCAGTCTTTCTTGATTGGGCCACAGCTGAAAAATATACATTGGGCTGTAAATTACTGGTCAGCATTACAATTTGTTAGTCTCCTTGGGATTGGTTTATAACTGGCTATTGACCCTGTATTTTAACACAGTAAACTTAAAAGCCGTTTGCTACCTACTGCAGGGTCAAAGATTTTCCTAAAATGTATGTTTAGGGCAATGAACTTAACTTACATTCAACAACTATGGTCACAATTTTAGCAACAAAGCCATGTGCATTAGTGGCATTGCAATGATACATGCCATCATCTTCTCTGGTGATAAGCTTTTGTATTCCAATAGCATAAGGCATGTTATCTCTTGTGCATTTAACTGTTGCAGGTGGATTTCCATAGGCTAAACAAGTAAATGTTTCCATGCTGCCTTCCTTCCAGGTTAAAATGTCAGGGCAGCTAGAATCATTCATCCGGGGACCATCTAGAATAGAAAAGACAATTGTGGTTATTTTCCTGAAGTGCAGCATCCTTTCTTGCCATGAAAAACTGCAGACGAAATGGTCATATTTTCACACAATTTGGGCAGTATGCACTGGACGCTCACACATCCTGAGATACAGAGGAAAACAAACAATCATGTTGCAGGGCATGGACTTGAATGTAAAAGCCAGCAGCTTGGATAGATTCCTAAAAAGATTAGAGTCAGCCCTTCATATGCACAGATTTTTTATCCACAGAGCCAACCATCCACTGCTCGAATATATA